CTTTGGATTGTACTTGAGTGAAAGAATTTGGTATTCCTGTCTCCATCTTCTAACCATTTCACACGTGCCCTCTACCACCAATACACTTCTTCTCTGTCCCACGCTTCCTCCATCTTCTTAATTAAATCATCAATCTCATTTTTATTATCTTCTGTTAACACACCACTCCTACAGACTTCTAGCCTCCTTGTTAACTGCTCAGGAGACTTCCTTGCATTCGGAAAGGTGGCTTTTCCCCATTCTGTCAAAGCCTCTTTACACTTTGCCAACCTGCATAGTAGTTCCTGAACTTTGTCAATGAAGTCACTAGCGTCCAATCTCCAGCCTTCTCTAACTACCTTCAAGAACTCCACGTGTTCCATCCAATATGCTTCAAATCTGAATTGCCTTTGCACACGAGTATGCTTAAAATCGCAATCAACACAAAGCATATGATGATCTGAGCCCACTGGCTCTATGTGCAAAACCAAAGCATTCTGAAAAGCTTCACAAAATTCTACATTCACCATAGCCCTATCCAACCTTTCTTTCACATGTGCACTACCCATCCTACCATTATTCCAAGTATACCGAGGTCTACTAAATTTCAGATCCAGAAGACCACAATATGATAGCATACCCTGAAAATTCAACATTCTTCTCACATTTACAAGTCTGCTACTAATTTTCTCACAGCAAGCTGCAATATCATTAAAGTCCCCCATGCAGAGCCAGGGCTCATCAATCCTTGAAGCAATGTCTCTCATCTTATTCCATACAAGCATTTTCTCTTCCTCTCTAGGTGCACCATACACAAAAGTGACATAGTTAGGTACCCCTTTAGTCGCAGAGATCATGCTTGTGTGAATAATGTTCTTCGAGCAGTACCAAACATTAATTGCAACCTCCCTCTTCCACATCAAAGCCAAACCTCCCCTCTGACTCTGTGGCTCTACTACCACCAACTCATCCATTTGACACTTTTTTCTAATATTTTCAACCTTTTTCTTCTTCATTCTAGTCTCCATTAGGAAGATCACTGAGGGATTTCTTCTAAAGTTTTCCTCCCTCAGCTTTTTGACTGTCAAGGACCTTCCTAATCCTTGACAGTTCCAAACTAAGTAAATCATGGCTCTTTGGTGGCTATTTGAGGCCAGCCACCATCACCCTCAGTCATTGTTCCATTACCACAACCTTTACTGTACTCTTTAGAGACATCTACACCCAGACTACTGAGAATACCCGAAATAGAATCAGGTTTACAACTTGATACCTTCGTTTTCCTGATCCTCCTCTTCAAAATCCTCACCCTTCTTCTTTCCACAGGCCTCTTTTCCCTCATCTCATCTTTTTTTTTCTTTCAGTGAATCATCATCAAAATTGAACTTTCTTCTTTTTACTTTTTCCTTTTCAACTGCATCCTCCAGCTCCCTCTTCAACCTGATCGCACTCACTCCTTTAGTAACTTCTGTTAGCAGTGATTGATTACCATACACAACCAGGGCTTTTGACAAATCTTCCCCTTGGCTGGGAGAGTTAACACAACTCAGCTTCTCTGCTTCTGATATGACTACTGGAGATTTACTACCTTCACAATCCTTCACTACATTGTTCTTAGCATCATCATCTTTTCCTTCCCCCTCCTTAAATTCTTGCACCCTAACCTCCTTAGCAACAGAAGCTGGATTAACATTCTCCTTATTCCTCCTATTCACATAAGTATTCGCATAATCACTTCTAACCTCCTCATTCTTTCTCTTTGTACTATCCCTCCACTTATCCTTGAATCTGCCCCTATCTACTAATTTTAAGTCAATAGACCTTCTTCCAATCAGATCAGTTTCACTCTCCACCCAATCCTTTCCTACATAGAATGGTCTCAACATCCAGATTCTTAGCAGCTTGCACACTCAGCCAATTACCAAAAGCAAGTATTAAGTCAGAGTGTTCATTATCCCGGTTAGGACAAGCTCTTTGATCGTGACCTATTCTACCGCATCTATAACAGAAATTCTGTAATCGTTCGTACCTTATCTTAATCCAGACTGGATCACCATCAGGCCGTGATGTTTTCTTCTCTGTAATTAGTTGCTTTCTCAGGTCCACCAATACTCTTGCCCTCAAGAAGCTTCTGATCAGAACATCTCCACGCCTCAGATTTTCCACCATCATCACTTCACCAATTGTTGATCCAAGAGTAATCGCGTTTTCCATATCCATGCCTTCAAGAGGAAGGTCATGAAATTGTATCCAAAACGGACAGTAATTAAAATCAATCTCCTTATACACCATAAACTTCTGCCACACTTGAACATTTAATAACAATCCTTGAATTGACCAAGGACGGCCCCGAAGAATCCTCAGAAATTCTTCTCTGCGACGGAATTCAAAGATAAACGCGTGGCTATCCACTTCAGTAATCTCTAGATCTTCGCTCTTCTCTAAGTTCCAGCCCTTTCGTATCATCCGCATCACAGTAGGTTTATGGATACTCTTATCCGTTATCACTTTTCCTACTAAAGCACCACCATACAGCTTCCGGTTCTCACTATTCTTCCAAATTAACTTCACTTCTTGACCTTCAACGTCACGGTCATTGTTGCTCAAACCTCCCCTACCTTCCATCTCCCGATCCACCATTCCTCCACTCTTCTGAGAACAAACCTCACCAATACCTCACTGTCACAATGCGCAATAGATCAGCTACACTCTCTAGTCTCCGTCGCAGTGGGCGGCGGAGTTCACACAAATCGACGATCACCGTCGTAACCACCTCTCACATAGGAGAGAGAAAGCTCTCACTTAGGAGAGGAACAAATACCATAGTTTTTTTATGTGTATAAAATTAAACAAACTGTTTTTTGTAGTTTGCTAACTGATGGATGTAATTGGGCTCAACATTAAAAAAAATTGTAATTTTGGTAAAATTAACAGTCATTAGTGACATTTCTCAGTCATCCGTATCAAGCAACATAGATTTTTCTCTTTTTTTAAACCAGACGCTGTCTTCCCTGCTTGCATACAACGGCTTAGCACCTTTTTTCGGAGACTTTCACAAAGTTATTTTTAAATAAAGAAACTGACAACCAAATTCGTGAATAATGAATAAACTATAGAGTTATAATATTATATTGCTAGTGTTTGGGCAACATAGTTGAATATAAAATATATTCTCAATCACACAATTTACAAATTATAAACATTTTGACTACTACCTCCTTTAGTTAATATAAAATCTAATTGACTAATTTGAGTATGTTAAAAAAACTAGTTAAGTTAGTTATTTGTAATAAATAGATATTTCTCCGGTCCTTAATATATAACCCATTTAACTAATTTGATTAAATTAAATAAGTTAGATAAGTTAGTTAATTATAAGAAATGTGACACGTTTTTCCTAAAATATCATAATCATCTTTCTTAATACCTCCTCTTCTTCTTCTACTTGATTATGGTTGAGGGAGTATCCATAGGGATAATTTAGAAAAAATTGATAAATATGAAAAATGGGTCTTATATTTAGGATCAAAACTAACTTAACAATTAGGTCCTATATTAAGGACCGGAGGAGTATTATGTTTTTTAAAATATTCTTACTAATTAACTATATTGGTTAAAACTACCATTATTATAAGTGCTATTTAAAAAATATATATTCCTCCGGTCCTAAATATAAAACCCCTTTACACTATAAAAGGAGTCTTATATTTAGGATTGGAAGAATATATTTTTTTCTTAAGTAGCTAATTACACTACAAAAGGGGTCTTATATTTATAATCGGAGGAGTACTAAATATGAGAGACGAAATAGATTGGGATCTTATACTTAGAATCAAAATAAAAATTAAACAAGGTATTATATTTAGGATCGAAGGAGTACTAAATATAAGGGACGAAATAGATTGTAATCTTATACTTAGAATCAAAATAAAAATTAAAAAAGCTCTTATATTAAAAATAAGAGGTACCCGTAGTATATTTAAAATCTAATTATTGTACACGTAATAATACTTTATTATAAAATGTATTCTAAGAAGAGAACCCAATTAATTGTCTCATTATTATTATTTAATATTTAATTTGGCCACCTTCCTCTTTGCGGCGCGGAACTGACGTGCAGTAGACTGAGATCTCAAAATCTCACGGGGACTCTGCCGCCAGAACTGACGGAGCTACCTTACCTTACAGAAATGTATGTGCTTCTAAGACTTGAACTCACACATCTAGGGACACTGCGCTTCTTTCATCAAATCGACTTCTTTCTCTTTTGTGCTCGCAGTAATCTCACTCTTAATTACCTCAACGGCACAATTCCTCCAGAATGGGGCTCCACGCAACTTACCATAATGTACTCTGTCCTCTCTTACATTTTGATTTTGATCGACTATAGAGAATATGATTACGGTTTCGTTCAATTAACATGAATCTAACGATGCATTGTTCTTAATTATACGGTAGTTCGGTTTACGGAAATCGGCTGACGGGTACAATGCCACGAGAGCTAGGAAGCATTTCCACTCTCCAGCGTCTGTGAGTTCTATCAATTATCATCTTAACGAATTGTTTCCCCAAAGCTTTGGTGGAAATTAACTTGACCTAAAATGGACAGGGACCTAGCGTTCAATCAATTTTCTGGAAATCTTCCTCCGGAGCTCGGGAGTCTCACCAATCTTGAAAGATTGTAAGCCCTTGATTTGATTTGCCGTTTGTAATCACTGTGTTAAATTCTTAGTTTAATCTGTCCACATGCTCGTTGATTGACCATGTGTTTTGAAACTTGAACTCCATTTGCTTATGTTCATAATCTGTCCTCGTCAACCTAGGCTGCTTAACTCTAATAATTTTACTGGGGAGTTACCTCCTACATTAGTCAATCTCACTGCATTGCGATACTTGTAAGCTTCCTCTTTTATCATACTCTCATTGCCATGATGACTACACTATGTTGCTTATTTCAGCTCAAAAATCTAAACTAACAGTGACTTTTCCTGCTTGCACCACACATGGGCTGATGGCAGTCAAATTGGGGATAATCAATTTTCAGGGAAGATACCCGATTTTATTCAGAACTGGACGAGTCTCGAGAAATTGTAAGAAAATCTCTCTTCCTTTTCCTCCCCTTATCAACTCTCATTTCTTTCAATTCTTGAACCGCTCAACGCCTTTTAATCTGAATGAACGATTTTTCATTTTATCAGGAGGATTCTGGGGAGTGGTTTAAGCGGGCCAATTCCTTCAGTATTCTCACTAATGAAAAATCTGAGAGAATTGTAAGTATGGTGTGATGATTTCGTTGTAGGTGAGGTTTTAAAGATCACTTGCACCTTAATTATGTTTGACTATGATTGTAAATGACGCATACGCAGGATTATTAGTGACCTGAATGGATCTGAATATTTGCATTTGCCAGAACTTAATAGCTTGACAAACCTGGAGACACTGTGAGTTAAAGTATTGTTTTGACTACATTTATTCTTAACCCTGCTTCACTTTTTGAGTCATTGTCTCACTGATGCAATTATTTGGGAAAGGAAAATAGATATGAGAGGTACCGATGTTTGTCTGAAGCGCATTTCATGCTCAGAAAATATGAGCTTGAAATGCTCATTTTGGATGATCCAAATTTAATTTAAATATATTTTATATTTTGAATAATTTCTTATTCTAATAGATATAAAATTTAAAATAAAAAGAATCTTATATTTTTTTTAAAAAACAATTTTATTATTAAAAAATTACATACTAAACATTTTAAATCTCAATGGTTGAAATAAGATTTTAGATGTCAGATTTTATGATTCGACGAGGACGCTCACAATCTGATTGTTTTACAGGATACTGAGGAATTGCAAGATTAATGGAACGATACATCCATATCTTGGGAGTATGGAAAATTTAACCACTATGTAAGTGCTCATTTCTTTACTAACTAGAACAATATCCCCCATGTTCTATTAGATTAATCAAAAAATGGGATAAAAAATGCAAAAGCAAATTGTAACTCTGTTTTAATACACAAATATACACTCCGTTTCAAACTACATTGCCTCATTTTTGTTTCTAAAATTAATGAATGTTACTTTAAACTTTTAAAAAGACATATGAAATAAAACAATTTTTTCAAAAGACATATTTTTAAAATGGAGGTTATATTATTCTATTTGTTATTAATAAAGCAATTTATTTAAGGTTCTATTACTTCTGATCCTTAATATAAGAGTTAAGAGGTGTTTGGGTTATGTCAAAAGTGCTTTTCAAAAATACACTTTTCCGTAAATCGAGATAAACTCCTCCACATATTGACTTCGTATACCATAAAAATATTTTTAAAATCATGGTTTTGTTTCTATCCAAACACCCATTTAGTTGACTAACTTGAATATATTAAGAAAATTAGTTATGTTAGTTTTTTTGGTAATAAATGGATATTATTTTTTTTAAAATACCCCTACTAATCAAGTGTATTGATTAGAACGACATTTTTATGCATGTGTATATATGCAGAGACTTAAGCTTCAACAATTTGACGGGAGATATCCCGGACACCTTTAAGATGCATAGGAAACATCACTATGTGTAAGAAATCTTTGTTTTTTTTTTTTTGGGTTCTTTTAAAATATCAACGTTGGCTTCTATCATTTTCTTGAAATTTCTTTTGTGTAGATTTTTGACAAAAAACCTTCTCACTGGACAAATACCTCCATGGATAGATGACGCGGGTACCAAAGTTAGCCTGTGAGTTTTCTTTCCTATGCTTCCCACACGCGCTGTGAAGTGCTCTGCTCCGAAAGATTTCTGGGAAGATGAAAGTTAGGTTACAAAAGATTGAATTAATAACGAATAAGAGTATCTTTGCATCTTTTTATTTTAAATTCTTATAAGCACTTTCACATGCCTCATTTTTAATAAATTGTTATTGAAAATTTATTTATAAATTATTTTAAACGAGCCCAAAGTATTTAATAATTTTTTTTCCAAAAAATAAGTTGTGAATATTGAGAATTGTAAATTTAGGGAGTTTTAGTTTTTAAATGTAGATAAGGCACTTTAGTTTCAAATGCGTCTCCCAAAATTATAATTGAGATTTTTGTTTGCAACTATATATCGGAATCTTTACAGCTTATTTTTTCAGAAAATTTCATTGAAAGCCTAATTGTCGTTAAATTAATTTTTTGTTATCTATATGTTGGTCGCTATTCATATTTTCATTTTTCTGCGAGGGGCTGCTTGATAATGAAGCATTTCTACAATAAAAATAATAGGAAATTAGAAATGGTAATGAAAATGGGATGGGATTGAATGAGAAAAGAAAATGGCAACTATAAATTATACAAGGACTTCATAAAAAAAGAATTGGGTGGACAAAAACGTCCCCGCCAGAGACCTTTCATCTGCAATAGAAAATCTTGTCAACAGAAAGGTCCTTTTTTTTTTTGAAAAAAAAAAACTCCAAGACATGTCCTTTTATCACGTAATGGGCCTTCCATGGTTTTTTTGCACCACTTTTCAGGTTACTTGTTAACTTGGCAGGTACATTATTTATATGTAATAATCCTTAGCTTAATAAAATTGTCTCAAGATTGAAAAAATAAAATATTTTTAAATATTAGGTCTGTTTAAAATTATTAATCAGGAGAGAAAATGTGACATTTTTTTAATAAAAAAATCGCTTTTTAATAGTGAGTCTAGATACAGGCAAAACTATCCTTGCGATAACCAAGGGTTAACGGAGAAATACCGATTTAATTTCTCTTGGATTTTGTATGACGCATTTTTTTTATTCTTCATGTAAACGAAGCATGAAGTAAAACAAAAATGTTAATTTGAAAAATTGATTTCAGGTTAAAATGAAAATATTATATAATAAAAATTGTCCAGATGTGCTCATCTCTAGAATTTACAGAGAGATGGGATCAGTTCTTTGCTCCTGCTCTCATGTGGTTTCCACTCTTTCTCCTTTGCTCTTTTCGTTCAGCAATCGACGCCCATCAGCTCCTTCCTCATTTCTGAATGTCCCTTCGTTCCCTGTCTTTTCTTTTCCTTTTTTCGGCTTATTGTTCCCTGTCTTCGTTCCCTTATTTTTCCGACTGCCAAATGCCAACCGAAGCTGTATGAAGTGGTCATGTAAATGCATGAGTAATTCAAAACGGCTTATTAGAAAGTCCTTTGACACACAATTATATGTGGAGTCTTGTAAAATATGATCTGACTTGCATATAATAGGGTCGTTGACAGTTGCCTTCATAAGTCTGAACTCTCTCATTTTTGAAGTGTTCTGCTCATGCATGGGCTTCGATTATCGCACATTATATTTATGCATCGAATTACACTTGTGAATCTTGAAGCTGATATGCTCTGGTTTGTTTAGAATCTCCAAATGATTCCTTATGATTCTTTGTTGCATCTTTCCAAGATTTTGAAATTTCTATTTTCACTTGTACATAGAGATCTTTCATACAATAACTTCAACAGTGGAAACTCAGAGCAGCAATGTTCAAAATACAATAACGTGTAAGCGCGCTTGCACGCACACATATTTTATGCATTCGATATCAACTTTATAATCCTATCTGATCCCTATCAATCTCTCACATGCCATAGGAACCTCTTTGCAAGCTCGTCAGTGGCCAACAACTCGTAAGTTTCATCCGCCAAACTCAACATGCGATATTTTCATTACTATATGAAGCTAATCTTTTCTGACTTTTTCACGCCCTTTCCACCTTACTCTCAGGGGAATGCCCACGTGTCTAAGAAGCGTCAGCTGCAGTGAAAGTAAGTTTACGTATAACTTTTCCTCGTCGCACTTCTTAGATCTCGGTATCTCACTCTGCTTGCTTTAGCATTTGGAATATGGATAGACTTTGGGGCTACTTTAATTAGGGGGTCCAAGAGCAAGGGGGAAAGTATATCAAGACCTTTTTCTAACACTCTGCTATATTATTTGATTTGACGGAACCTATTCTATCTTATCCTACCGTTGTAAATGTAAGTTCCTCATGTAGCTTGGTTCATTTGGACCGCGATTCACCCTATTTTACGTGTTTCAGAATCGCGCTCTCTCCATATAAATTGTGGTGGCCAGTCGGTAACCGTCAGTGACGGCAAAACATATGAAGGTGATTCAGATGTTGCTGGACCTGCTAGATTCCTCAAGGAAGGTAGAAACTGGGCATTTAGCACCACTGGCTATTACTTGGATACTAATGCTACCACAGACTACCATGTTACCTATGCGAACAAGTCTAGGCTTTCTATGATCGATGCTGGACTGTATAAGAATGCCCGTGTTACTCCTATTTCTCTGACTTATTATGGCTTTTGCCTGGAAAATGGAAAATACAGAGGGAACCTTCATTTTGCAGAGATAATGTTCACTGATGATCAAATATATAGCCGCCTTGGAAGGCGTTTATTTGACGTCTACATTCAGGTACATGTCTGCTACATTTTTCTACCTTTTTACCAATTGTCAGCTTCACATTTGATGCTGAACAAAGATTTTTAACTAGCTCGAGTGTTGAACCTTTCCTGTAGGTGTTACGTGCTGAGCTGACTTAGACTAGGATCGGCACTTTCACATGCTTTTAAGATAATACTCCTCCGATCCTTAATATAAGACCTATTTAACTAATTTGATTAGATTAAGAAAGTTAGTTAAGTTAGCTAATTATAAGAAATATGATTTGTTTTTCCTAAAATACCATAATCATCTTCTTTAATATCTTCTCTCCCTCTTTTACTTGATTATGGTTGAAAGAGTATCCATAGAGGTAATTTAAGAAAAATTGATAAATATGAGAAATAAGTCTTATATTTAGGATCAAAATTAACTTAATAATTAAGCCTTATATTTAGTATCGGAGGGGTATTACACAGTCATAAAGAATTTCTCTGTCACATCTCCTTCCGGTATAAACTAATGGTAGAATATTGGGAAAAGACACTTTTGAACCAATGCATTTAATTAATTACAGTTCAGGACCAAGTATTTCAAAGTTTTGATAAAAGACCCTGGTATCGTTAAAAATAAAAGATTAGTTATAAATTATCTTAAAGTTGAGTAGTAGATTGCGAAAGGTAAGTGTCAAACCCTTGTAACTACATGTATTAACTGAAAATTTTTTCTTCATTCATCCATATCAATTAAAAGTTGAAATATAGTTAAAAAATTTTCATACAAATGCCAAATTTTGCAAGACAGTGTGAAATTTGTGTACTTATTTTTAATAATTTCTAAAATTGAAACATCAATTGCAATTTTTCACTTATCTGATCTCTCAAATTTTAGGAAGTCCATTTGGCATTCCCAAACACACACACACACATATTGGCGAAATAAGATTCTTATTTTCAAATCTTTTATATGAATAGTTGAAAAATTTGTTGCTGTGAGATTTCGAAAGATTAAAAAAAACTTGTTTGACTGACACTTATATTTTGAAATCTACTCCTGATTATCTAATAATTTTTCACTGACTCTAGCTTTTAAGTTTTAACATGGCACATTTTATGGAAAAAAAAAGATAATTAAGTAATTTCATTTTTTATATTTAAATATTATTTAGCACCTTCGATTCTTTATTAGGTCCCAAAGTTTCATTTCCCCTAGAATGTTTCCAACCGCCTCAAAACTGTAGAGGTAGCCTTCATGCCTGAAGCGCTAAGGTTTGGACTGAAATCTTGTAGGGAAAGAGGGTGCTAGAGAACTTCAACATTGTTGAAAGAGCAGGAGGAGTAGGGAAGGCGGTGATAGAACCATTCACTACTGATGTCACTAATAATACCCTGGAGATTAGATTCTATTGGGCCGGAAAAGGGACAACGGCTATCCCATACAAATCAGTATACGGTCCTCTTATATCTGCTATATCCGCGGAATATGGTGGGCGGTACACTACAGGTTTTAAATTTTCTGCCACCACCTAGGTGGTACAAATATCATCATCTAATACATAAATTTGTTTCATTAAAACCAAACAGACCCAAAAAATGGAATATCTACTGGGGCCGTGGTAGGAATCGTGCTTGGAGGAGCTGTTATTGTGATCGTGGTATTTGGTATACTTTGGTGGAGAGGCTGTATAGGACGCAGAAGTTCATTGGCGAAAGGTAATTACAAAGCAAACTACGAACTGCTAACCAATCCTTTCATGCAAAACTTAGATGTTTTGTCTGGAGTTGGGCTCTTGTGATTTGTGTAGTATGAATTTTGGTGTACTCTGACTTCATTTTAAGATGGCAATTGTTTCATCTCATGCATGATCTTGCACCACTGTGACTCAAAATTTGATGAAAATTCTAGCTCTCTGATTTTTGTTTGCTTTTACTGACAGATCTTGAGGGTTTGCATCTTAGAACTGGTATATTCACCTTCAAGGAAATCAAAGCAGCAACCAACAACTTTAATACAGCTAATAAGATCGGAGAAGGAGGGTTTGGTCCTGTTTATAAGGTTATACACGACATGACACATATTCTATTAATTGCATGCTTGACCAGTTGCCTTTGCGGTTCTTATTTACTTGAAAATCCATTTCAACTTTCCTATAACTTCTATGTCATATCCAAAATTGCAGGGTATACTCCCAAATGGCACAATTATTGCAGTTAAGCAGCTGTCCACCAAATCAAAGCAAGGAAATCGTGAATTTATAAATGAAATAGGCATGATTTCTGCTTTGCAGCACCCCTATCTGGTTAAGCTTTATGGCTGTTGTGTTGAAGGAGATCAACTGCTGTTAATATATGAGTTCATGGATAATAATAGTCTTGCCCGTGCTTTATTTGGTAAATTATTAAGTTCTTTTTGCTTGTTTGATTTGTAATAATACAATATCTTACAACAAGTATACTTGCCATATGATAATGTTGTCTAATTATTATTGCATTCACAAATGAAGGTTTGAAGGAATTTCAATTAAAGTTAGATTGGCCAACAAGACACAAGATTTGCATTGGGATTGCTAGAGGTTTAGCATTCCTCCATGAGGAATCAAGATTGAAGATTGTTCATAGAGACATTAAGGCCACTAATGTGCTACTTGATAAAGATCTCAATCCCAAGATATCTGATTTTGGTTTGGCCAAACTTGTTGAAGAGGACAATACTCACATAAGCACTCGAATTGCTGGCACTTAGTGAGTTTCTTCTTTTAAAATAAACTTCTTTCAGGAATTATGTTCGTAAATATAGTCATTAATTAAGCTATATGAAGAATTGTGCTAGCATGTCATTCGACTTTTTCAATCTATTATGAACTAAAATATATTTGACTCTAATTTTTTTATTTTTAACATAATACAATGTATATACTTTTTATTCTCGTAGTGGATACATGGCACCTGAATATGCGATGCATGGTTACTTAACTGACAAAGCAGATGTCTATAGTTTTGGAATTGTTGCCTTGGAAATTGTCAGTGGGAGGGTCAACACTATTCACCGAGCAAAGGAGGAAGCAATCTATCTTCTTGACGGGGTAAAATATTCTCAAGCTATCTAGTAATCATGTCAATTTTATCTAGACAATGTCTACAGTACAGGGGGCTTTTTGTTTTTCAATGTTCATCTAGTACCAAAACAACCCTTTTCGGAGCCATTGCACACTGATCAAACAGTACTACTCACATAATCTCCACCTTAAAGACATCCAAACAATTTTCATAAGTTTTTTCTTACTTCTGCCCTGAGAATTTTACCAACGTCTTACGATGAGATCTTTTCAATTCAAACTTGAGCTTTATGGTTTTGGTTGCTTCTTTCTGGTACAAGCTATACCAGAAAAGAATGCTTCCATTTCGCCTTTCCTGCATAATCTGACAGTTCTTTCGTTCTCCCTGCAATTTTTATTGTTTCCAAGGATGGAATTAGTTTGATTATATATTGTATTTTGATTTCACCAGGCACGTCTCTTGAAAGAAAAAGGGGAGTTGCTAGAGCTAGTTGATCGAAGGTTGGGCTCAAACTTTGACAAGGAGGAAGCAATGGTGATGATCCAAGTGGCTCTCTTGTGCACCAATGTCACCCCAGCTCTCAGGCCTACCATGTCTTCAGTGGTAAGCATGCTTGAAGGTAAAAGTGTGGTTGAGGAGATAGTTTCAGAGTCAAGTGAGGTATTGGACGAGAAGAAGTTGGAGGTAATGAGGATGTTATACAACCAGTTGGAAGACAATAAGATGACTGAGATTCAAGAACAAGGTACATCAGTGGACGAACCGTGGGCTGCTGCTTCAACATCAGCATCAGATCTTTATCCTCTGCATTTGGACTCCTCTTACTGGAATAAAAGAGACTAGATTGTCTCATAACCTCAACAAACTGCATCTTCTGTACCATTCTGGTTATGGCTAGCCACGAACTGATGCTCTAATTCTTCTGTGATATGCTTTTATTGATTAGAATGAGATTCTCGACAGGATATTTAACTGGGTTGGTTTTCTCATCTCAACAGTTAAATATTGGAAAGGTTTTCTCATCTCCTCCTGATATACATCATAGTTTAATAAACTGTGGTGGAGAGAACAATTTCTTAGACCTCATCATATTTACTTCAACAGAAATCGAGCGGATATCGTTCCTCTTGAATTAATTTAAGTCAACCTCAGCCTCTCATTTTTTTGTTTCACTTCACTTGTGCGAGTACCAAGTCACCATATTCACACACTTCATGGTTATAACTCCTTGCATATGTATACCATATCTGGAACTAACTGCTTTCCATAATTTCTTAATTGAATATTCTCTTGTAAAATTCAGCAGCCACTGAATCAGAAGATCAGCGTCGAGCATCACAGCGTTTTCTTGCTTTTAATCACAAAAGGATCAATATAAAATTTCTTTTTTACAATTATCCGGTATCCGGCGTTTTTGATACTATTATCAGATATTTGAGTAGCCGACTAATCTTTTTGGGGGGTTTTTTGCACACAATGATCCCACTCACAAGTTTCCATAATGTAACGTGTAATTAGTATGAATCTGATGATGAAGCATTTTTCTTAATTTTCTGAAAGTCGGCCGAAGGATGCAATTCCACGAACGATTTCATAAGCTTGTTTGGATAATCATGGTGGAAAAATATTTTCGTGTTTTTTGTTTGATAAAGGGTCGTTTAAAAATTATGATTTTTCCACTTAACTCTGTTTATTTAATCTTCTTAGTTTATATAAAATATTGTTTTGCAGTCAATTTATATAAAATATTTAACAACTAGTTGTGATAATAAAGAGAAGAGCACGTACGTCGCTTCTTACTTAAAGAACTATGACCCACATGCATGAATTTCGCCCCCCGGTGAGAAAATAGTCTGTGGATTCTTTAAAGAGGGTGCCAATGGCCCTCAAGTTTCTACTGATCCTATTTATTTGCAAGATATTCGTTTAATATTATTGATAAGGGGTTTTTTTTAAGGCACTTTTTACATATTTTATATAAATTCAAAAAGATCTAAAAATTTATTAATTATTTGTTTAAATATAAAAATTGTTAAATTTACTCATATTTAATATATACACTTTTTAAAAAAAATTATCTACACCATAATAGATAAAGGATAAAATAACATATTTATATTAAAAATTTAATAAAATAACTTATAAATGATATTACTTCTTCTTTTTTTCCCATATAAATAGAACGAGAAAAGTATATGGGAGAGGGATTTTATGACTTTTGTATCAAGATGTGATATTAATTAGAGGAAATTAAAATAGGAAATATCTTTTAAAAAAAATTTCACAAGGGGAAGCACGAAGACGAGGGGGGCAGATCGTCTCAGAAGCGGTTTCTCAACGTCTCTCAGAATTTGCATATCTTGTCTGTCCATTCCATCGTGAGCGTCCATAAAGTGACACATCATGAGATATTTAAAATCGCATCTAAACCGTTCATCTCGTTATAATCCTCGCTGTCCATTCATTTCCAGAATTCACGAAAACCCTTGCTCAATTTGCTGTGAATTTCCAACCCTGTCAAAGCCGCAAACAAGGAGCTTTGTGGTTACTGACGATTAGGCACTATGAGAGAATCACCATAGTTTTGCTGGAAGAAACTTATTTTGTCTGATATCTATCTTAAAACTCTTCTGTCATATCATTGCCCTTCTTTCCATCCCTTTCTGGTTGCGCTTCTTCCTCCATATCTCCCTTCTTTTTTTTTACCTTCCTGTTCTTCTTTGCATTTGTCTGATTATTAGAATTCCTGTAGTTGTTTAAGGATGTTTTAACCTTAACATGCCACCATTTTTGAAGTGACCTAGCCTACCTTTAGTATTGTTGTATTCCAGCAGGGCTGCAAATCTAGAGAAGCTAAAATGAGGCAAACCATTCTGAATTAGCATGGCATTTCATTTGACTACCTTATGAACAATTTGGAAATATGTTTGATGCCGCCTTATAACTGTATTTCTCTTAATGATTCGAGCTTTGGAGAATGGATGTCTATTTTTATTTACTGTTTTTCTTTATTACACCTGGATTGAATTGGCTTGTAATTAGGTGAATGCTAGTTCAATTTCCCTGGTCGTTCGCTAGGAGAGACCTACTTATGATACTACAACAACTAGCAAACACAGAAGACATGTGACAATGGAGATATTTGTCATATTGTCTATGAAAATAAAAAGCTATTATCTCTTATTTAAAAAAAATCCTGTGTCCTTTTTTCTTTTTAATAAAAAATATCGGAACAAAACATATACGGATAAGAAAAACAAAAAAAATTACCATGAGATTCTTAAAAAAATAATTATAAAATAAATCTTAAAAGTTGTTATTTTTTATTCTGAAACTTGCTATTAGAGATTACCTAGATTATTATTATTAGGATTTTTTTAATAATTATCTTCCATTTTTAAAATTTGATTATGATTTTCTTTAAAAAAATTAGTTAAATTTAATTAAAAATAATAAATAAGTGAAAATTATAAATCTTTTTAAAATACTTTTACTCATGAGATGAATGAATGGTGTCGTGAAAAATAAGATAATAAATAATTTCTTCAGTTCACAATATAAATTATTTTAACCATTAACCAATTTATCAATATAAAAAAAATACATAGTTGCTTCATTAAATGTGTTTTAAATTGAAAACTTTCTACAGCTTTACTCGTATTAAATGGGGTTATAAAAGAGAGAGAAAAATATGAGGAGTTATATTTAAGTATTAATTGCAATGACAACATTAATAAGCAAGAGTTAATTGCTTTTCAACTGACTTATATTTTAAATCAAGTTATCTTTTTAGAAGTGACTTATATATTACGAAATAGAAGGAATATATTGATTATTAAAATAAATAATTAATAAAAAATAGTAAAAATTTTAAAATATCCTACAAATGATTCATATAAATAAGAATAAGATAGTGATGTTTCCCTCCCTGCCCCCCGCCCCAAAAAGGGTCCGAGGGAATATTAATCATGCCCCTCAAGATTGTTTGCCATATTCCCTCCGATTATTTTTCAAAATTTATAGTAGTCAGAGTTGATAATACAATTTGTTTTGTTGTAATCATTAAAGAGATCTTTGCTAAATCATGTTCTACCGATAGTTAGAAGTGGAAGGAGTTGTAATAACCCTTTTATATAATGCTAATATGCTGTGTCATATCAAAAGATAAAAAAGAAAATCTATTTTATATCATGCGTCTATTTTAATTTTATTATTTTAAATATATTTTCTCATCAGTAATTTTATGTAAGTTGCCTTTGTACGTCGGGATTGTAATATTTTACCGGCAACGCTTGTCTTTTCAACTGAAAACAAAACTTTTTCTCAAAACATTAACTCCTAATTAATGCTCTAATTTTTACTCCTATCGTTGAGATCTAAATATGCAACTTGCGCGATTCGAAAAAACTGTTAAAATTAATTAAAATTTTAAAAATATGTAGGAATTATATTTTTTTAAAATATATCTTTATTTATAAGTGGGTAGGTAAGAGTGAGAAAAAATTGAGAGAAAATGTACGAAAAGATAATAAAAAAGAATATATTAATTGAATAAAAATGAATAAAAATATATTTAATTTTATAATATTATCCGGCATCTGATTCGCGTTTATTAATTAAAATTTGAGTATAATCAAGTCTATATAGAAGCAGAAAATTTGTGGCATTTGAAGTCCATGGCTTACGGCTCAGTCGTCGTCGTCGTCGTCTTCTTCTTCTTCTTCCAAGTACTATATGTCACCTGAGCTTCGTTCTCTGTATATCTGGCTTTTAGCTGCTCTGGCTCCATCCTTTTATCTTATTCACAAGTCAAAACCAATCAACCTTGCTGGCCTATTTTAATGGAGTTTGCGACGTCAAGCTCCAAATCTGTCTCAATTTTCTTCTTTGGATTTCTGCTTCTGATCAGTTTCTTCTCAGATTTTCCATCCAACGCTTAACTTATTCCCCCAAATGAAGGTCTCTGCTTTTCATTTCACTTTTGTCGCCATTGTCTTTTCTCCTTCTCACAACTATCATAGTATCA